GGAAATATTAAATTGCTGTTTCCTGCATTAAAGATAACCTACTTACTACAACTCCCACAATGGGTTATCTCAGAGCCATTCTCTGAAAATGACTTTCCTGTCTACTTTAACAATAAATTTGCACTGCATCCAGATATGAAAACAAAAGGGATTTACAGCTCTTTACTCCTGTTTTCTTGACCTTCAGGTTGTATCATTTATTTAATTAAATATAAGGATGGAAAATAATGGCATTAGAGATAAGGGGAGAGTGAGAGGGAAGGAGAATTTTCAGATATTTAAGTAAACAAATGTATGTTAATGAATTTGCAACAGGCAAAAGATTTCTTTATCACACTGAAAAAAATTAAAAGAAATGCTAATCAGACTGCCTCTGACTAGCATTTTTCCCCCCAATTACATATAAAATTAAACTAGTCTTTAAAAAAAAAAAAGACTTTGCAGAAAAAGTCTTTCAGATCTTTCCAACTGCATGGTATCCAAGAATTGAATAAACTGTTGTCTATAATAGTATTTTTAAACTTTAGCTACTGAAGTCTGGACTTCAAGTCCCAGAATTCCCCAGCCAGCATGCTGTCAAGATTGAGAAACACTGGTGTATAAACTTGATGAATACTGGTTTGGACAGAGATAATTTTACTCTTTCTTGCATTTTCTACATAGAACAGGGAATATAAGGTCAGCTAGCACAATCATATAGCTGGGCATGGTTAACAAGGAGGCATGCTAGGAATTATAGCTAAGCAACATCTGCATAGCCGTAAGTTTTTGCTATGTCATGTCAAATAAAAAGTCTCTGTTTTATCTGTAAATTGAACTTACGCCATTACTTTCAACTAAAATAAAACAAAACAGAAATCAACTTTTAGCCAGATGACCAAGAAATGCCATTGGCTTAATAGCCCTTACAGAATGGATGAATAAAGGAGTAAGCACAACACCATATCTCCATCAACCAGTAGCGTTGATCACCAAGAAGATATTCAATCAAGGAACAATTAGGAAATGCAGTTTCACTTAGGATTGCCATTGCTAAATGATGTAGTGGTAGAGCACAATGTCACATGTCTGCATCATTTAGCAACACACAACCACTGCTTCTGTTGTAACTCCCAGATGTGTGGATTTGCACTTAAGACTTAAAGACTTCACAGTGCTTTACGGCCCTCTCTAAGCGGTTTACAAAGTCAGCATATTGCCCCCAACAATCTGGGTCCTCATTTTACTGACCTCTGAAGGATGGAAGGCTGAGTCAACCTTGAGCCGGTGAGAATCAAAATGCCAAACTGCAGGCAGCCGGCAAGCAGCAGAAATAGCCAGCAGTACTGCATTCTAACCACTGTGCCACCACAGCTCTATTAGATGGGAAGCAGTGGGGAACCCAAACAAAAAAATGTGGGGGATGCATGTGAGCCTGAGGGAGGGATGTCGTAGCATTGCATGAGTGCAGGGAAGCCAGAGGGACTTGCTGCTGTTTTTTCCATTGACCTTGCTTATAGGAAACTGGCAAGGGAAGTTGCAAATGGCGACCAGAAAACTGCAAGACATTGCAATCATCATAAATGCTTGCCAAGCACCTGAACGGCTATCATGTGTCTGTAGGATGCTATGACAGCGGGAACTTTGAGGGCCGGTTTTAAAAACCACTTATTCAGCATTATTGTAACTTCAAATGATCACTGAACGAGTCATTGGTAAATGAAGACTACTTGTAAACAGAATATAATCAGGAATTACATTCGATGAATTAGAATTCTGTAGCATCATTGGAAAAAGCTTTGGTTTGATGATTTATTTTAAAAAGAGGATCAATGCAGTGGTCAGTCAACCATACACCAAAAATCAGTCAGTTTATTTAAACAGTCTACAGATCATAAAAACACATATTATTTTAAAATCTAAGAATGCACAATTTTCTTAATTATAACCCTCAATGTCCTTATATAATTTTATATAATTTTGCTCCCTTAACCTAACCTAAGGAACGCCAAACAGAAACTTCGTTAAAGTCACTTTAGGAATCTGATCAGAGATATTTAACATAAAATTGATTTGAAATCCAGAAAAAAATGTTAAAAATATGATTTACTGATTTGTGTTATGCAACAATATTAAATTTTGAGCAATGGTCAAACAATCTGCAGGTGTTTTATGGAAGTATATAAATTTAAATCTCAGTTCTGGCTAAAATTGTACTGCTGTTACTGTTGTTTTTCTATATCACTCTTCTTCTCAGAGAAGGAAACAACAGCTTTCAAGAAAACAGTAGTAACAATTACAACTGGGAGGATGCCACTGAGAAGGATCTCTTTCTGTAAATCACACCTATCAATGAGATACAAATGGTGGGGCCTAACTCTTTCCACCCAATCCTACTGGGCATGTAGTGTTACATGCATCCTTTAATCATACAACTTGAAAATATGATAGCCACATTTTATTATTCTTTATTATTAAATGTATATCCCATCTTTTACAAGAGACACTCAAGGCAACATATATGCTTATCCTCCTATACATCCCCATAACAATTGAGGGTGGGGGTGAGGGGAGGAGAGAGTGTGAGTGTCATCCATGAGATTTTGTGGCTGAAGTTCTAGAACTAGCTTAAATTGTTGCAAACTGTCCAGTGTAATAGGAGGCTATATAAATTAAATCAAACCAACAAATCTTTCTGCTTTCCTAAACTAGTTCAGGAAATTCACGATTTAACTGCTATAACTCCTTGGTTATATTCCTTTAACACTTCGGCTATATTCTCTACTCCAGCTGCCATTTTTGGATTGCTTTCTTGGACAGACATCATGTAAATTAATGTAAATAGGAGGCTATTAGGGAATTTCTAGGCTACCTTGATTCATTCAGAGCTACAGTTGTTGCATGACCCATAGGATCCAAGCATTCCTTTTTCCTAAAGGCCGGACTTTGGCAGAAATATTATCTCTTCCAGGAAAGGATAATCCTCAAGCCTGAGCAGCACCTAACTTTAATCTGGATTGAACTCCATTTCTTTGGATTCCATTTCCTCCAGGCAACTGCCAAATATCTGCATAGCTACTTTTGAAACCAGTGATAGGTTAAGTGACCAGCCAACTGGTCACTTTGTATTCCAGATATCTGATGACAGTCCCCAGCAATTGAGGCAACATAAAACCCCACATGACCCCAAAACGCAATTGCTCCTGGGTTACAGATTTACAAGTAAGAATGGAAACACTGCATTGTCTTTCCAATTTTCAACTCTTAAAGCCCTTTCACCTATACACTGGTCAAAAAAATAAAGGGAACACTTAAACTACACAATGTAACTCCAAGTCAATCACACTTCTGTGAAATCAAAATGTCTACTTAGGTAGCAACACTGATTGACAATAAATTTCACATGCTGTTGTGCAAATGGAATAGACAACAGGTGGAAAGCAGAGGCAGTTAGCAAGGCATCCCCAAGAAAGGAGAGGTTCTGCAGGTGGTGGCCACAGACCACTTCTCAGTTCCTATGCTTTCTGGCTGATGGTTTGGTCACTTTGGAATGCTGATGGTGCTTTCACTCTAGTGGTAGCATGAGACGGAGTCTACAACCCACACAAGTGGCTCAGGTAGTGCAGCTCATCCAGGATGGCACATCAATGCGAGCTGTAGCAAGAAGGTCAGCTGTGTCTGTCAGTGTAATGCCCAGAGCATGGAGGCGCTACCAGGAGACAGGCCAGTATATCAGGAGATGTGGAGGAGGCTGTAGGAGGGCAACAACCCAGCATCAGGACCGCTACCGCCTTTGTACAAGGAGGGACAGGAGGAGCACTGCCAGAGCCCTGCAAAATGACCTCCAGTCAGGGCCACAAATATGCATGTGGCTGCTCAAACGGTCAGAAACAGACTCCATGAGGGTGGTATGAGGGCCCGACATCTACAGGTGGGGGTTGTGCTTATAGCCCAACACCATGCAGGATGTTTGGCATTTGCCAGAGAACACCAAGATTGGCAAATTCACCACTGGCGCCCTGTGCTCTTCACAGATGAAAGCAGGTTCACAGTGAGCACATGTGACAGACGTGACAGGATCTGGAGACGCCGTGGAGAACATTCTGCTGCCTGCAACATCCTCCAGCATGACCGGTTTGGCAGTGGGTGAGTAATGGTGTGGGGTGGCATTTCTTTAGGGGGCCGCACAGCCCTCCATGTGCTCACCAGAGGTAGCCTGACTGCCATTAGGTACCGAGATGAGATCCTCAGACCCCTTGTGAGACCATATGCTGGTGCGGTTGGCCCTGGGTTTCTCCTAATGCAAGACAATGCTAGACCTCATGTGGCAGGAGTGTCAGCAGTTCCTGCAAGACGAAGGCATTGATGCTATGGACTGGCCCGCCCGTTCCCCAGACCTGAATCCAACTGAGCACATCTGGGACATCATGTCTCGCTCCATCCACCAATGCCATGTTGCACCACGACTGTCCAGGAGTTTGGGGATGCTTTAGTCCAGGTGTGGGAGGAGATCCCTCAGGATACCATCCGCCACCTCATCAGAAGCATGCCCAGGCATTGTAGGGAGGTCATACAGGCACGTGGAGGCCACACACACTACTGAGCCTCATTTTGACTTGTTTTAAGGACATTACATCAAGGTTGGATCAGCCTGTAGTTTTTTTTTCCACTTTAATTTTGAGTATAACTCCAAATCCAGACCTCCATGGGTTGCTAAATTTGATTTCCATTGATAATTTTTGTGTGATTTTGTTGTCAGCACATTCAACTGTGTAATGAACAAAGTATTTAATAATAATATTTCATTTATTCAGATCTAGGATGTCTTATTTTTGTGTTCCCTTTATTTTTTTGAGCAGTGTATGAAGAAAGGCTATGGGAAAATCACTGTGAATCAACATAATAGTATATTTTTCTTTAATCCTGCAAGATAGGCTAAGACGAATTTCAATTGTTTTTTTTTTTTAATTTAATCTTCATTCTTGGTTTCAAAATGAATTCTTCAAATAAATATTACTCACCGGACTCTTGCAAATATCTATATACGAGGAAGTTAACCTCATCACTGCTTATACTCATCTTTATTCCCGCTTAAACCATGAGGTCACGATGAAGGATATAACCCTAAAAAATATAAAAAATAATACAGCACGTTAGGAATATGTGATAACTGGATTTCTGTCCAAAAAACTGATTCATTGGTCATAATGTAGTTGTGTCTAAAAATGGACTATTTTCAAGTCTAGTAAGAGAATAGTTAGGCATCCAGGTAATGACCATGCATAAAAAACAAAACAAAACAAAGACAAAACAACCATTTACTACTTTATCAAGCTTACATATGTTTTCTTCAGTGAACAATTACAAACATATGAATACTTATTAATAATAATGAATTTCTGTTCAGTAATCCACTGAAAAAGCTTCACATTACATATATGTGGGATCATCATAGCCATAAATGTCCATGGGCATTTGGAACCTCCCTAGCCGTTTCAAAATGTTGTTGTTGTTAATGATGATGATGATGATAATCATTTGAGTAAAATCTCATGAGATTTATGATAAGACTTCAGGGGTAAGATTGCTGAAATTCTGCAAACATCTTATAGGATTTAAAATAGCTTTAAAAAAGGAAAATATACCAGTGTCCCTGCTATCATGAATGGATAGCAATGGAAATCTGCTGCCCAGAAACATACAGTTATACATAAAATTGTTCAAATGGGGCATTATGAAAACACGTTTAAAGATGTTTCTAATCAACCTATGGAGGAGTGGATAAATAGGTCAAATATGAAAACTGCTAGAGTGGAAATAATTCAGTCTCATACCTGTACTGCAAATGCTGCATTAGTTTTCTGTGAGCTTCTAGGTATAATTCAAGGAGCTGATTTTCACTTATAAAGCCTTAGATGGATTAGCTTCCAAATATCTCCAAGATCATGTTTTCCAGTTGGGACTGGCCTGACCTATGAATTTATCCTGGATGAAATATTCACCATTCACTGCACACCTAAGATTGTGAACGGCTACTGAAGATAGTATTTATCTTTGATAGTATTTATCCAACACTGTGTGACAGACTCCCAGAGAGGCAAGGCTCCACCAGTCCTGCCATCTTTTCTGGCTAAAGCAGAACACTTTCAAAACCCTTTGAGTTCCAATTTGCTACCGTGTAGATGAAGTTTTAGTCACAACTATCATTATTATGATTGTACAAATATTACTGTTCGATTTCACTGGATTTCTAGTTTGAGTCCTATTGTAAATTATGGTGAACTGGTTCAATTCTGTGGCAAGAATACAAATACTGAGGTCTATAGGAAGAAGGGTTTGACTGGGTAGGTGAAAAAATTAAAATACAAGCGTGGAAGAGAGAAAAACAAGCAAAGAGAACATGTCTGGTTTCCTAACAGCAGTTTACATCCTTATGTGTACACACACATACATACAATATATGTGTGCTATTTGGGAAATCCTAACAATGGTTTGATTAGCTTGGTGGCTGTTTCTAGCCCATTTTACTTGAACTTGAAATGTTAAATAGGATCTGGTTCATGCATGGATGGGAAACCACAAGCAAATTTAAATATTTGGGGCTAGAATGGGAAATCAGAATAAAATCACAGATGAAGGCAGTGACAAAGCACTTATGCTCTACTGCCAAAAATGCTACGTGGCTGTATCCATGCTCATAAAGTCTCTAGAACTCAAATTCAGTTCAAGGAGGTTTCTACTTTTCCACCATGTTTTAATTTGTATTCCAGTCTTTCCAGCTATGGCAAATAACTCCTCGCTTAACCAATATTTTTGCAGTTGCACGAATATAAGCACCACAGTAGCCCCAAAAGTGGGAAAGGGAAAGGAATCAGCAAAACCAAGATATAAAACTCAAAGCACTGAAGGAGATGTTCTAGGTGATGATGTATGGGAATACTTATTTATTCATCAAAGATTAAATTTACAGTGACAGGCTGGGGATTTGAATGAAACCAACATTTTTAAATAAACAGCAGTCTGAATGAAATTACACTCAACTAGTAAGTAATTTAAAAAAAGAAAAATCCTGCAAAATGGTTGTTAAAATATAGCCATAGTCTTTTAGTATACCAGGGGGATTTTATTTACTAAAACTGTTTTTTTTAAAGGTTAAGAGTCCCGCTAATCACCCAGCCTCAAAATGTTTTCCAAGGGTTGATCAAAGTGTTTTCTTTCAAGAGAAAAAGGAAATGAGAGAAATAAAATTGTATTATGAATATATATATGAGGCTTCCATCAGAATGGACATGAGAGGGCAGTATGACATAAGTATTCGAAACAGCCAACAGTGAATGACAAATCAAAGGAAGCTTGTGAACTAAATGGGGATTATTTTTTGCAGTGAGAGTATCACAGACTAACCTGATTAGAAAGGCCTAATCTACAGGTACTGATTATTTCAAGAGACATCAAAAATAAGCATGCCTGCCTTTGTCCATTGTGATCCTTTCATCTTTGGCATGCCTGAAGCAGCAAAGCACAGCATAAATTCTTGCTTTACCCACAAGGTATATCGCCTGGACTCCAGCCTTAATTAAAATCTTATCCAAATGTTGCCTCAATTTTGGCCAAGAAAGGAGAATCAGGATTCTTTACAAGGAACAAAAAGCCCAGAAATATAAAATGTGTTGTTTCAAGAATAGAAACCCCCACGTGGCATCCTGGACAGCAAGAAACCCAGAAACACCTCTCTTGATGCCAGCTTTTTTCTAAAAAAAAGACTGCTATAATTTTAATTTAAACTTTAAAAAGAAGCTGGCATGCTATAACATAACGGTTAGCTTCCAAAATTGGTGTTATTTTCAGTTGTCTTAAATTCCACAGATTCCATAGGTTAGCTTCCCTGCCCCCCGCCCCCCCCAGCCCCAGGCTGAAAGGAATCAAAGCTCTGCAAAAAAGTGAACATGGCTAGAGTGAAATAGGGACAAAATAATACATTTAATTTAATTAATAAAATATAATTCATATATAAGTTGTCCATAATTTCCCCCTTCTTAAAAGAAATGTCAGACTTCAAAGAAGGCAACAGCCTATGGCTTTCAGATTATGCACTGCTGTTGTAAACATTCTTAGAAATGGAAGTGGTGATCACTGTAGCTCAGTGCTTTGTTTATAAGGACACCTACTTGTCTAGAAAATAGTTTAAAAAGCTTACTTGATTGTTAGGATGCATCTGGGGAAAGTAGGAAGGGAGGCAAAAATTACTTTGCCATCAATCACTAATGTTTCGTGGTTGGCAGCCATTTTGTGAATGGGCAAAGCCAGCGTGACGGCCATTTTGAGGATGGGCATGTCCATTCTTACATCAGTCACTTTTTATTTTTTTTAAAGTGCTAAGATTTACAGTGTCAATCTGTCAAATGTTACCCCAGGCCAACAGTTTGGGATCAATGCCTCAGGGACTTTTCAGAGATAGATGTTTTCTTAGAAAGACAAACTTTCCCTTTCTACTATGGATTTTATACCTGTAATTTTCACCAGAAAACATCTTGCAGCCTTAAACTCATTACAGAATTAATTTGTAGCTTCTAGCCAGACACAGATTGTCTATGTCTAATTTTGGGTCATGTCAAAATCTGATTAAGTTGTTGAATAATAGGCTTATTACCCATAGATACATTAAATCACAACCATCCAGAAATCTGATCAGGTGGCAATATGTCAGAACACAAACAATCAAATCCTTACTAAAAAGACATGTTTAATTCTTACATTATTTTACAGAAGTGGATCTTGGACACACTCTCTTTTCTGAAATCCCATGTTGCAATGAAGGTCTTAAAAAAGGAGAAGCAGCTGCTACACTTATCATAACTGCCTTAGAAAGATCCACTTCTAGATTTCAGCCATTTCTTGCAAAACTAAGAAAGTCAAAGCCATGTGATCCAATTCTTTGCTTTCTGTGGTGTTTATTTAATACTAAAAATTTCCCAAGAGTATTTTTTAAGGAACCGCCAGAAGAGTAGACAAAAATGAGACTGTGTGGTCCGGTTGATGAGAAAAGAGAAAATGGTGCAATTAGGAAATGCACCTCCCAAATGCCTTTATATTTGAATTAGAGTTGGTCTTTCCTCTGCTTCTCCTCAATGGGGCTTTGATTTACATGAGCTGCCTACTTGCTCTTCATTGCTGTTGGATTATAAATAAGAGCCTGTGTTTATCCAGCCAGGGCCTAACCTCTGCCAAAAATGCTTTTCTCTTCTCCCTCCCTGTTTTTGTTGGTATGAATCAGGTTCTACTGTACTCAGATTGCAGTAAGAGTCAAAGGAAGACCAGTATTTGGATAAACAATGTACAAAGTCTCGGTGCTAATGAATATGCAGCGGTACAGAATGAGTTCAAATTCCATGCTTCTTATGTGGAGGCTATCAAACCACACATATTGGAATGATCATACTCGGAACACAATTGTTCATGGTCCATATACACCCACACACACTTTCTTTTAGTTTTTGGCTGTTCCTTTAAAAAAAATCATGTCTGTAGCCACCATGAAAAAAAATGTTTGAAGCTGGGAGACAGTGCCCAGCCAGATTTATACAGGAATCTTCTTGTAACCGAAGTGGCCACTGAAACATGACCTCCCCAATCCAAATTTAAACATCCTAGCTGCCCAAGGATGAGGGCATGACACACAGCAGCAATGCTGGCTGATCATGTCACAGTTTCACATCAACAGTTACTTCAGATTTCCAATGTTGATGCCAAGTTTCAAATCTTGGAAGGATTTTATGGCCGCATTATAAATACTTAATACATAACAGGGGAATGAAGCAGAAATGCTGACCTAACCTTTTACCGTATCTTATGGGCTATGCCTCAATGTTGATATTAACTTTACTGATGTGAAAGTTACAGCTGTGAAGTAATTTGTACATGTCTCACAACACATTCACAAAGTTTAGGAAAACAATCTCTTTCAACATCCAGCCAAAAACACAGTATTTGCAACAATGTCCTTGCAGACAAGAACACAAATAAAGAAGTCAAAGCAGGCAAGGACAATTTGAGCAAGCTAAATTGAGACTGGCAATAAAACCTATTTTAAGTGATCCTTCTTTAATATATTCCCCTGTTCATTC